TAGTGATTGGAATCGAATATACTCGAATATACTCGTATATTCGTTTAATTTTAAAAAATGTATTCGAATAATATTCGAGTTGGTTATTCGAATAATATATAAATAATTATTCAAATATTATTCAAATAAATACGAAGCCTTTAATTTATTGCAATATCAGATATTATCTTATTCGTGAAAGTAGCTTTTAAAATATATTATACCTATTTTATCATACATATTTAATAAATTTAACATTTCGAATGCAAATAAAAGACAAATTTTAAAATTTATTATTAGAATCGAAATTAAAGTCATAATTCCATATTTATTTATTTTGAATATCCTATTTACAATACATTGTAATTGAAATTAAATTGGAGGGAAAATATCACCTAAAACATTAATATTTCTCTTTAAAAAAAGCATTTTTTCAACCAAATCAGGATCAAGATTTGTTCTCTTATTAGTAATATTATTTCCGACATCTGAAAAAAGTCTTTCCGAATTCAAGACGTTTAACCATTCTATTACGAAAATAACATATACACAAATATTTACGTGCAATTGAAGCTAAAATCGGAAATCTTTTTTCATGTAATTTCCACCATTCAAGTGGATTTATTTCTTTACCTACTTCATTTAATTCAAGGTATTTATCAATTTCTTCTATACTATCCACAGGTTCATTAGAAGATGCATAAATCATATCCAAAATTGATTTTCGTTTAGTTGAAGTATTTTCCGCAGTTGAAGTCACATGATTTGTATTAGTAATTGGATTTTGGTGATAATCAAGTCGGGCATCTTCGTACAAATCTTTAAGCTCATCAATTACTTGATCTCTTATTCTTTGTTTTACAAATCGAAGCTTTTTAAAATGTGGATCAAGAAGACATGCCAACATTCCAACTTTGTTAATGTTTTTCCAATAATTAAACATTGAGTTATAAAGAATTTTCTGAATCTTTGGTATTATATTCATTGTTTCCATAGGTTCAGAAATATTAATTTTTTTTTTATTACGACCTGTATTAGAAGTTAAGTCCACAACTTCTATTTCTACTTCATTTTCATTATCATCAATAATAACTTCTACATTATCTAATATAGTAATTTCTTCTTCATTATTAGTTGTTATATTATTATCCTCCTCAAGATCAAGCTCAAAATTCAAAGTATTTGACAATGGTGGTGAAGATATAACTGGTGTTAATGTTTGATCAACTTGAGTAGCTTTAATCAATACGATTAATGCTGAAATTGCTGGATACATTGATGAAATAGTACAATATTTTGCACCACTTAATAATCTTGTAACTTCTTCAAATCCAAATAAAAGGTCAAGTAAATTTTCTATTAATAACCATTCATCATCAGAAAGCATGATTTTTTCTAACCTTTTTCCATCTTTTTGAACATCTTTATTTAAATCTGATTTAAGTTGTCCCGGTAAGAATTTTATAGCCCGTTTTAGTTCAATTAAACGCTCCCATGCATAGTAAGTGGAATTCCAACGTGTTGAAACATCACCAATTACATGCTTTATAGAATGATATCCTAGAAACTCTTGTGCAGTTTGTAAACGTTCACGTTGCTTTGGTGAGATATTAAAGAAATCAATTAATCTCTTTGCCCGAAAAATTAAAACTTTTACTAAATTAAGACCTTTTCCAACAGACAATTGCAATGTATGAGCTGTACAAGAAAGACGAAAAATAGTACTTTCCATTAACCGGCCTGCTTTTTTTATGTTTTTCGCATTATCCGTTGTTAAAGTTAATAGTTTAGATGTAATTTGCCAATGTGAAAAAATGTCATCAAGTATTGTTTTGATTACTTCACCAGTATGAGGATATTTAACTTGTTTTAATGCTAATAAAGTTTCATGTAAAATCCAATCATGAGAAATCCAACTACAAGTAACACCAATATATCCATGACGCGCTTTACTAGTCCAAAAATCTGTAGTAATTGATGCTGCAATACAATCAACTTTTAAAAGTTCAAGAAGCTGATCTTTACTCCATTCATATGCTTCTCCAATCATTAGTTTAACTGATTTGTCACAAGGAATATCAAAGTTTTCATCAAGAGAAAGTAACAACTTTTTAAACCTTTTATTTTGAAGTATAAAAAAAGGTTGATTATCATCAATTATAAATTCTGTAAGATTTTGACGAATTTTTCGATATTCTGATTCACTTTTAGTTTTACGTTTTTTAATTGCCACTCGTATATCAGATTGGGATTGAGTCTCTTTTAAGTGTTTTGCTTATTTAAGAATAAATATTTAATAATTTATATAATAATAATAAAAAATGCTAATAGCATTTAATAAATAAATTATAATTACCTCTTCTGTGCTTCCTGGTTTAAATATTTTATGTTTTGTTGCTAAATGATGAATAAGATTTGAAGTTGTTGATCCATCATTATAATAATGACCACATTCTATTCCATCTTCTTTAATTACATAACATGTTGCCGAAGTTAAATCCTCTTCTCTTTTAAAATAATTCCATACAAAACTGGTTAACTCCCTAGTAGCTCTTGTTCTTTTTCTATTTGTTGGATTTACTTTTTTAGAATTTAAAGTATTAGGATCATCACCATCGGTTAATATTAATAGCTGTCCGGTATCACTATCGGTAGAATGGGTATTAAACATCATCGTGTTTATCTTTATTGTTTCTGCGTCGTGAACTTCATGTACTCATAGTTGATATATGCAAGAAAAACACGAACACGAAAACAAAAAAAATGGAGTTTAAATTTATAATCGGTTAAATTTGGATTATCATATCCAGATACAGAATTTTAAAATTTATTGTAAATTACGGAAACGGAAAATGGTAATAAAAAAAAAATTTTTTTTTTTTGATCTATGAAAAAAATTTTATTTGCAATATTTAAAAAACTATTTTATTGTGAACGGGTAAGACGGGTGACAAGCATAACAAATATTTGTTATACTTGCCACCCGTTTGCTAAGAAAATTTTTTTAAAAAAAAACTTTTGTTTGTATTTCTTGTACTTCTTGTTTTCGATGGATGATAAATATAATTGATATTTGTTTTAATAGACGAAGAAAAAAAAGGTTTTAATGAATAGGCTGAAAAAAAAATTAAAAAAGTTTATTATATGTAACGCATATTTGCATTTAAGGTTAGCAGATAGTACAATATTAAAGTTTTAAAATTAGCATTTACAATGACGATCTTATAGTAGTTATTCGAATAAATATTATTCGAGTTATTCATATATAAATTCACGAATACTCGAATATAGACAAACCTTATTCGAGTATTCAAGTATATTCGAATTACTCGAATAACTATTTAATGATTCCAATCACTACATGAAATGAAGACACTAATGCATCTGAATTATCAGATTTGTGGGACTGCACGGTCTCAGAAATTTTAGTCACATGATTTTCTTTCGGTACGGATGAAGAGATTTCTTGAATCAATCCCTGTCCATTTTTTTCATTCTTCTTCTCCTTATTGCGTTGCTTTATTTCACTACTAACGATTTTCTTATGAGCCTCAAGCAAGAAACTATCCATATCTTT